GGAACCACAAAAGACCACAAATAGCCAACGTAACCTTGAAAAAGAAAAGCAAAACTGGAGGCATCACAATTCCAGACTTCAAGTTATATTACAAAGCTATAGTAATTAGAAGAGGATGATCTTGGCACAATGAGAGACACATAGATCAATGGAACTGAATAGAAAACCCAGAAAGGAACCCACACTCTATGGTCAATTAATCTTCAACAAAGCAGAAAAGGATACCCAGTGGGAAAAAGTCTCTTCCACAAATGGCGTCAGGCACACTAGACAGCAACTTGCAAAAGAATGAAACGGGACCACTTTCTTATACCAAACACAACAGTAAAGGAAAAAAATGGATGAAAGACCTAAAGGTGAGACCTGGAACCATAGAAGTCCTAGAGAAGAATATTGACAGTCACCTCTTTGACATTGGCCATAGTGACTTCCTTATAGATGTTTCTTGAGGCAAGGGAAACAAAAGAAAAAATAAACTATTGAGACTTCATCAAAATAAGCTTCTGCACAGTGAAGAAAATAATCAACAAGACTAGAAAGCAACAAACTGAATGGAAGATATTTGCAAATGACATCTCTGATAAAGGGTTAGTACCCAAAATATATAAAGAACTTCTAAAACTCAACACCCCAAAAATAAAGAATCCAATTAACAAATAGCCAGGATACATGCATAGACATTTTTCCAAAAATGACACACAGATGGTCAACAGGCATGTGAAAAGATGCTCAACATCACTGATCATCATGAAAATACAGATCAAAATTACAATGACCTATTACCTCACATCTGTCAGAATGGCTAAAATCAACACAAGGAACAACAGGAGTTGGTGAAGATGTGGAGAAAGGGGAACCCTCTTACACTGTTGGTGGGAATGCAAGCTGGAGCAGCCACTCTGGAAAACACTATGGAGGTTCCTCAAAAAGTTAAAAATAGAACTACTCTATGATCCAACAATAGCACTACTAGGTATTTACCGAAAGAATACAAAGATACTAACTCAAAGGAATGTAAGCCCTGGTATTTGTAGCAGCAGCATCCACAATAGGCAAATTATGGAAACAACCCAAGTGTCCATCGACTGATGAATGGATAAAGAAGATGTGGTATATTTACACAATGGAATATTACTCAGCCATAAAAAAAGAATGAAATCTTGCCATTTGTGACAACATGGATGCAGCTAGAGAGTATTATGCTAAGCGAGAGAAGTCTGTCAGAAAAAGACAAATACCATATGATTTCAACCATATGTGGAATTTAAGCAGCAAAACAAATGAGCAAAGAAAAAAGAGAAAGAGAGGCAAACCAAGAAACAGACTCTTAACTAGGGACCATAGAGAAAGTGAGTAGGGGGGTGGGTTAAATAGATAATGGGGACTGAGGAGGGCACTTCTGAGGAGCACCAGGCGCATGGAAGTGTTGAATCACTCTATTGTATGCCTGAAACTAGTATTAAGCTGTGTTAACTGGAATTCAAATAAAAACCTAAAAATATAAAAAATGACAATATCAGTGGTTGCCAGGGGCTTGAGGGGAGAGAAGGCAAGATGAACTGGTAGAACATAGCAGATCTGTAGAGCAGTTAAACTAATCTGTGTGATGGGGTGCCTGGCTGGCTCAGTCAGAGCGTGCAACTCTTGCTCTTGGGATTGGGAGTTCGAGCCACATGTTGAGTGTAGAAATGACTTAAAAATCTTTAAGAATATTAAATTAAAAAAACTGTTCTGTATGATTCTGTAATAGTGGATACATGTCATTATACATTTGTCGAAACTCATGGAATGTACAATACAAAGAGTGGACACTAATGTAAACTATGGGTTTTATTAATAATATCGATATTGGCCTATTGATCGTAACAAATGTACCACATGTAATGCAAGACATTGAAAATAGGAGAAACGGTGTAAAAAGAGATGAGGGAGTATATGGAACTCTTTCAACTTAGCACTCAAACTTTGTGTAACTTGAAAATACACTAAAAATAAAGTCCATTAATTTTTTTATAAAAGAACATTAATGACTTATCTAAAAACAAATGAACATAGAATTAAATCCATTATTCAGTTGACAGTCCTTAATAAAGAGAACACTTTCAAATTTTTTTTTTAATGTTTTATTTATTTCTAGGAGAGAGAGAGACAGCGTGAGCAGGGGAGGGTCAGAGAGAGAGGGAGTCACAGACTGAAACAGGCTCCAGGCTCTGAGCTGGCAGTCAGCACAGAGCCCGACGCGGGGCTCGAACCCACGAACCGCGAGATCATGACCCAAGCGAAAGTCGGACGCTTAACCGACTAAGCCACCCAGGCGCCCCAAAGAGAACACTTTCAATAAAGAACTGAGGGTTGATGGAAGGAGGTGGGTGGTTGATGGGCATTAAGGAGGGCACTTGTCATGGCACTATGTGATGAATCACTAAATTCTACTCCTGAAACCAATATTACCCTATATATCAACTAGAATTTAAATAAAAATTTGAGAAAAAAAATCTCTTACATATTGCTGGTGAGGATCTTCTATCACTGTAGAAAACAGTTTGATAATTTTTTTATAAAGTTAAACATATACCTGACATATAGTCCAGAAATCTAATCCCAAATGAATAAAAACATACAGATATAATTTTTTTTAAAAAAGAGAACATTTTCCAAACTAAAGGAAATGCTTTCACTGACGACTACAGAAAAACATACTTTGTGTAAAAGTGATCTTACAAATATTAACATAATAAGTATAGCTCCCTCTTGTTTCACAAATCCAGAGGGCTTTTTACCACCATGAAAGGTAAGCAATGTTGATCATTTCAAACCTAATCTCCCATGTCTTGGTGACACCCCAAACTATTTTAAGATGAATTGATTCAAACACTAAAAATACTGTGATGAAAATTTATCCAAGAGTCTCTATAGGTGAGCCAATCTCAAAATACTGGTAATTATCATAAGCCAGAAGTACATGTAACATTAAATCAGTGCTCAAAACCTTAGCTTCCAGGATCATTGAAGCATTTTCGAATGGACTTTATTGACTTTATCCTATCGTAACCTGAAATGTGCCTTAAATTGCTTATTTAATTCTAGTTTAATTAAAGATTTCCTCAACTTTTCATTATTTACTTGGATATGATTTCGAACAGAATTTAGAGTTTCTTCATCATTTATTTCACTATCCTCACAATTGGTGAGATAGAAGCATATTACTCTTCAGTATTATCTTTATTCAAATTATGTTCTTATGAAGCCAGAGTGATCAAATCTCATTATGGTGGTACAATCAATCAAGAATGCTTTTTGTATAGTTATCAGAGAACACATTTATTATTTTATTATGGAAAAATATACATGAAATTTTAATGATTTTTAAATGTACAGCTCAGTGGCCTTAAGTTATTCACATTGTGTATCATCACCATCACCACCAACCATCTCCAGAACCCTCTCATCCCGAAGGGAAACTCTGCTCCCATTAAATAACCCCCCATTCCTCCCTCCCCTAATCCCTTCAGCCACTTTTCTGTTTCTGCTTCCATCACTTCGACTATTCTATGTATCTTATTGCTATCAGCTTGCCAAGTGCTTGCCAATATTGTTGATTTTTCCAGAAAGCCAATTCTTGTTTCCATTGGTATTTTTCCCCTTTTATTGAGGATTTTTCTGTTCTCTACTTCCTTTGCCTGTACCCTAATCGTCATTAGTTCCTCTTCCTTCTGCTAATTTGGGATTTGGTTTTTCTTCTCTTTTTAGTCATTGGAGGCATAAAGTGGGATTACTGATTTGCGACCTTTATTCTATTTTAATGTAGGAGTTTATGCTGTGAAACACCTTCTTAGTACTGCTTTGCAACATCCCATTTGGGGTGTGTGTGTGTGTTTCATCTCTCTCCATGTAGCTTCTAACTTCTGCCCCTGAGCCCCTTGGTGAATTTTTCACTTCAATTCTCATATTCTTCAGCTCAGAGTTTCTGTTTGGTTCTTTTCCACAGTTTTTACCTCTTGGTGATATTTTCATTTTGTTCACGCATCATTTTCCTTGGTTTGCTGTGTATTTGTGTTCTCTTTGAGAGTATTGAGCATCTATCTTTAAAATGCTTATACTGAATTCTTTGGTAGCTTGTAAATCTGCATTTCTTCCATGGGAGATGAATTTTGTTCCTCTGATTGGCCCATGTTTTCCCAGTTTCTTAGCATATCTTGGGAATTTGAGTTGAAATGTGGGGTTTTGGAAAAAGAGTTACTTCTCTCAGTCTTTACTGGCTTCATGGGGGGGAAAATCTTCAGCAACCTGACCTGTTTGAGATTCTGGGGGACATTTCCAAACTTTATTGAGACGTAGTTTCTTTAAACTGGTACGTGGATTTTCTCAGTTAAGAGGTTTTCCTGCTTCTTCTCTGGAGCCTGTAAACACTTGCTTCCCCTGGTGTTTGTCTGAGATGCTGCCATCAATCCCATACAGCCCTAAAAATTTGAGTGTTTGCCTTTTTTCTCAGTGGCCCCAACATGACCCCCAGACTGCCATTCCTACCAGGTCTCTAAATCACACCAGATGGAAAAGAATCCTTCAGGCCATCCCCTGAAAGCCAGAATGTAATCCCCATGGTCCACTCCTCTCCTTCTGTCCAGAGGGAAAGCAGAGTTAGGAAAGAATCTTCAATCATGCCACACTGGGCCAGTGACGGGGAATGACTAGGACAAGAAAAATATCATAAACTTGCCTGATCACTTTACTGTATCTTATCTTGGCTTTGTGCTTCTCCGAGTGCTGCAGCCTCTGTACTGGTTTGACCCTTGTAGGAGGCTGTTTGATCTTTAGTGGCTATTTGATCCTTGGAGGAATGGAGGAGACCCAGGGATTTCTATGCTGTTACCTGGCTAAATTAACTCTGATAATTTTCGCCATCAAATCATGCCTCTTCTTGGGGAAATTTCTTGTTTTAATACACTGGCAATCATATCTCTTGAGAAGACAAATTCCCTGGTGAAATATTCTTCCATTCTTTATCTTCCCCTCTTTTTCTGCAATGCTCTGTCAAAGGCAGCCTTCATCTGAGCATTCCTTATACTGTAGATGAGGGGGTTCAGCAATGGATTGAAGAGAGTGTAGAATAGGGTAAGGATTTTCTGCTGATCCTCACGCTGACTACTGTCTGGAACCAAATAAACCATCATGGCTATGCCAAAGTAGAATCCAACCACACAGAAGTGGGAGGAGCAGGTGGAAAAGGCTTTTCTGCGCCCCTCCTTTGTCTGGATCTTCAGGATGGCCCAGAGGATGCGCATGTAGGAGATCAACATCAGGGAAAGGGGCCCAACTAAGATAAACACCCCACCAGCAAAAACAAAAACTTCATTGATCCAAGTATCACCACAGGCCACTTTGAGGACAGATAGGATTTCACAGAAGAAGTGGTTCACCTCCTGGGGCCCACAGAACGTCAACCTTAGAAAGAGAATTAGATGTACTAGGGCCAGGGAAAACCCACAGGCCCAGGTAGCGATGACCAGGACCGTGCACACTCTCCAGTTCATGATGACAGTATACTGGAGTGGATGGCAGATTGCCACAAACCGGTCATAGGCCATCACTACCAAAATCAGGCACTCTGCAGCAGCAAAAGTCACAAACAAAACTATCTGCATAGTGCATGAGACAAAGGAGATCGTTTTCTTGTGTTTCACAAGATTTTCCAGCATATTGGGCAAATTGCTGGAAGCATAGCATATGTCAATAATAGCCAGATGAGAAAGGAAGAAATACATGGGGGTGTGCAGTCTGAGGTCTAGCCAACTGAGTCCCAAGATCATGCCATTTGCCAGCAGGTTGAAGATATATAACAGGGAGAAGACACAAAAGAGGAGCACTTCAAGGTCTTCACTGAGCTGGAACCCCACCAGGATGAATTCTGTGACCCATGACTGGTTGCCCCCCATTCCTTGATGATACCTTATCAAAGACTGAAGTGTGGTAGAAAGGTCAGAGCTGGATATGAATGAAAATTGAAGTTTTTTACCTCAAAATGAACTCGGAGGAAATTTTGATGCCTGTCCCTACTTGACTTTTTCTTCTCCAATTTTTTTAGTTTAAAATTTTATTCTGAAGTAATCAAACATTCAGATAAGTATCCAAAAATGAAAACAACACTATTATATATAGGTTACCAAATTGTTTTAAAGTTTATCTCATCAATTCTTTTTTTTTCCATGTACACATTATTTTTTTTTCCAGACCACATAAGAGTAAACTGCAGGTATAATGCTAACTTGTCCCTTCATTTTTTTCTAAGACAAGGGTATTCACTAACCTATCCTCAGGATAAATAACCAAAATCAGGAGATGTAACATTAACATAATTCTCTATTTTAGATATAGCATTTTCTGCCCCTCTGATCCAAGATGCAATCTAATATCATCTATTTGATCTCCTCTATTATTTTGAAATAATCACTCAGACTTTCCCTTGAAATTGATATTTTTGAAGAGTATGGATCAGTTGTTTTATGTGTCTCTCAACTTGGGCTTTCCATTAATTGCTCATTTTCAGTTCAAAATAGAAATTTCTGATAGGATATTAAAAGTGTCCTTCTTAGAGCTTCCATTAATATACACATAATGTTAATTTGTCCCAATATTGGTGACACAAGGTGGATCTCTTGGTTAAGGTGGTGCCTTCAAGTTATCTTAATTATAAAATTATTACTCCACAATTTAAAGCACTTATTCTGGTTTCCTAAATTGTTCTAGCCTCAAGTTGTTTATTTCCCACTTCCGCTTGAAATAAGTTATTTGACCAAAAAGGTCTCATTCCTTTTAGTGAAGAATCATATTTTCAAAAAACATCTGATTTTATTGGATCTCTAACAACATTTTTATGATTATTGGCAAATTTCTAATATCCTCATTTAATTGGTAGAATATATAATTTGACACACCAACTGTGAAGGGGATAATGAATTCTTAAACTTACTTCTTTAGTACTAATACATTTTACAGATTTCCTTCAGAGCCAAATCTATTTTACTAAATTAACATGAAGATTAAAGAAAATGATCTTGATATTATACAGTGGTTTATTTTAGGCAAAGGGATACTTCTAATCTTGTTTAAAATTTTTTGGTTTTCTTTATACTTAGACAATCATAGATTCTTGGGAATTTCAGTTTCACAGATTAGTTTCAATAGCCTGGCATATTGTGTGAATGAAGACACATTTACCTCTGATGAGATTTGACATCAAGTTTTTGAAAGTTTCTTAGAAAAACATGAACTTTAGTAAAAGACTAAAGAGATAATCCTGTGAAACACGGCCCAAAGTGATCATTGCTAATAATTTGCATACAGTGTTTTCTTCCTCACTGTACATATAATTTCACATATAAATTAAACATTAAATGAACAGTTTGTGTACATTTTAAAATGTATCAGTTTTACATTTTAAAACCAGTTCACGTACATTCTTCATGACAAAATACTTTTCTGCAGCATATACTGACAGCTGCATACTATGTTATCTTTTAAATCAAATATATTACCTTCTAACTATATTGTATGCAATAGAAATTATGGCCGATGCTGACTCCGTTTTATACATGAACTTTGTGTATCTTTTATTATTTTCCCATAATAAATTCATAGACATGAAAGTTCTCAGTCAAATCTATCTCTGCCATCATCTTTCTGTCTAAAAAGCAAATAAGCAGGGGAAAAAAAAAAAAAGAAATCCAGACATATCATCACCAGAAGAAATCACTCAGGGGGAAAGAATCTCTAACTGAATAATCATGACTAATCTCAAACTCACCTTTCCTATGAAGGGGTCCCCACTTTAGCATTTCAGCTTCTATTATGCTGACTCTCAAGTTTTTATATTTTTCAACCTGGTGTAAAATGTACTTCCTCTGGTTCATTCTTATGTCACCTTCATAAATACCAAGACAGAATAAGACTAGTTACCGGAAAGTAAGACTTTATGAAGCTTAAGAATAATCTGATGACAATGTAGATAACTTCTGGTGTTCTGTGTTAAATCTGTCTTTCCTAGTCAATTACAGCTGAGAGTTGTCTACCTCCAATTTCATGGAGCTGTTTACAGTGGAGACCTGTGCCTAGGTCTCTAGGTCTCTTACTGCCCAAACGACTCCATGTTATCCCAAAACCAACTATTCAGGATTTCCTTCCTAGACATCCTTTTACATTTTAAGACCAAAAGCTACACATTTCTTTGTTTCCATCTATTGTTTATTCTTAATTCCAGTTTATGGCCCAAAAGGCACACCTGTTTCCTGAAGGACAACATGGAAGGAGTTATGATTCAGGGCCTATATCATCCATAACATAGACATGTCTTTATGTTTATAGTCATTCACATTAAAAAATATTTAATGTAATCAACACCACAGCTCTTTGATGATGCATAGCTGTGATAAGACTTTTACCATACATGACCAAAGCAGGTTTTCTACAAAATTTATTTCCAGATAATGGGAGATAAATCTCTTGAGAGATGATGGGTATAGTTTTAATTCCTATTTCTTGACTTTCTTTTATCTTATAGAATTAGTAACAAAAATATTCTGGAAATTATTCTACATATAATTTCTATTATATTTATCTGGAGAATGTCTTTTATAAAAAACTAGTATAATTCTTGATGAAACAGACATTCAAATTTTTGTTAAATTGAAGAAAAAATTCAAATACATGCACACACATCAGGTCACATACCGACATTACAGTGTTCCACATAGATTTTTAAATATCTTGAAGATCAGAAACCTCAAAGAGATACCAAAAATTACAGTATCCAAACTCTCAAAATATTCTAGTTTTACGAATTCATGTTCTACTAGGCTATGTCTTTATAAGCATGTTTTATCTATTGAACAAGGCATGAATTCTGCTTTACCAGAAAGAAGTTCAAAATTAGAATTTAATCATTTGAAAACTGATCTTACAAAAAATACTATGAACGATCCATGTAATTTTAATACATTGTTTCTACAGGGTACATTTGAATAGGCTTTGAAGGTATAGACAATAGTGTATCTGCAGATAATATGGCAATGCCTAAATGAATTAATATCTTGCATCTGCTTTGAAGTGATGCCTGGAAGAAAGTCTCAAGCAAATTGCTTTATGAAAAGACTTACAGAAAATAAAATAACCTAAGAAAAAAACATAAAGACATATGTGGCAGTATTTTGAGCCTTTGAAAAAACATCAGCCTAAAGGAGGCATCAAGTATGAAAGTAGTGGCCCTTTAGAAATGAGTCTGACAAAATTGAGATAATGTCCTAGATTCCTGTGTTTCCGTACCTTTGATTGTGTTGGCAAGGGTGTCTATAAAAGTGCATCAAGATCGTAACCTTACCAAGTTTTTCTAAAACTATAGAATATATATTATGGTGTGCAAATATGGAAAATAACATCTCAACTTTTTAGGTTAGGTATTTTTGCATCTGAATAAACTTTTATCTTCATTTCCACTACGGCATTTTTATTTCACTTAAAAAATACTTTTGAAAAGAGTGAAGGTACATTAAATCTTTAAGTAATGCAGCAGTGAAATAGAGAAGATTTCAAGATAGCCTGAATACAATCTCCCCTTCCCAATAGAGAATAAGTTAACAGCAGCTCAGAAAAGGAAGGACTGTGTGGTCAGTCTGAGGAATTCTCCCCCTGCCTGGGAAATCCTGTAACTGAGTCAGGGAATGCTCTTTCTCCAACTTTAGCTGGAGGTATTGACACTTATTCTATCCTGTTTTGTGGGCGGATAAATATTTGTATCAAGCACAGTAATTTCTGAGCCTAATAACAGTAAAAAATGATTGATAGCTTGAGAATATTTCAATGAGAAATACCTATGGGGCAAACTTACCTCTTACACGGTTTTGGCGAGAGGACTTTGCTGCAACTATTACTAGAATTTTGCTTTCCAGCAACAAAGCTACTCTGTCAATACCTTTTATATCAGTTAATAGAAAGTTCTCTTATTCTTTTGGCTCCATCAAAGCCTTATCAGGGGGAGATACTTGCATGTGAAGTCTCTCCTACTTCCAGATCTCTTCTTAAACAATAGAGTTGCCCTAATGTGGAGCCCACCATTCAACCACACTGGGAAGTGAAGAGAAAGCTACCAAGGGACTACATGGGTCCTGTCACAGCTCAGCGGACAGAAGCTTCTGGAGCTTGGTGGGGGTGGAAACTGGTCATCTATTGCACCTGTCTGCCACATAAACTTTGAATCAGGAGGGACTCAGGATATTTCATTCAGGAATATCATACCTCTCCACATAGCCAGGCTTCAACCCTGTTCTACTTCAACTACCATCCTAAAAACCATCACACAGTGGAAATAAATCTCTCCATGTAAGCAGATGTAAGCACTGGATACTTCTCGGGTATCTGTCTTGACCAAAAGAAGACCCTTCAGAGGTTAAGTTACATAAGGCGATATAGAAGGCTCCAGAGGAGAAATCTGAGTCAGGAGACCTTCATTACAATTGATGATGGTTTTCCAATAGAATATGAAGTTCTAAATTAAACCTCTAGGAATAAAGGTTTTGTTTAAAATTAGCAAAGAACTCAAATTCCCTGAAGGGCCATGAGACATCATGTTTCTATTTCTCCCAAAAGAGGAGGGGGGTGGGGAAATCCCTCAAATGTCTCTCTCTGGAGGAGAGGAGAGATTTTATCTAATTGGCCTTGGAGGAAAATTCTAGGAAGAGGCAGGGCACCTCCTAGCATCACACTCTTTATGTTCACAGACTTTGAATATCTCACAAGTAAAAAGAAACCTGAGGGAGATCTCACAAATTACAGTATTTAAGCCACCAAAAAGACTACAGCTTTATAAACTCATGTTTCTCTTCAGACCCCGTGAAGGCCCATGGGAAGCCAAGATTCTGATTATTGAGAGGTGGTTTCCATGAAT